AAATATTTTAAATTAAATATTATTTAATTATAATATATAAATATAAATATAGTTTATTATTATTAAAATATATTGAAGATCTTCAAAGATTAATATATAAATTTTTGCTTTGAAGTCTTTTAACAACAATGAAAATCCTTTGAAGATCTTTACTCAAAAAATTTCCTGATATAATAAAAGTTGAAAAAAATATTTTTAGTATTAAAAAATAAAATTCAAATTTGAAAAAGTTTTTTTTAATTTTTTTTTTTAATAATTTTATTATAAAATCAATAATATGAATATTATTTATAAAGTTTGTTTTAATAATTTTTTTAATGTTTTTTTTTCTTTTATAGTAAAAAATTTGTTAAAAAAATTTGTTAAGTTGATAATAAGAAGAGTTTTTATAAATTTTGTTTTGATAATTTTGTTGTTATTTGAAGTTAAAAATTAATTTTAATTCTACTAAATAATAGTATATGAAAATTGTTTTTTTATTATTGTTTGTTATGAAATATTCCATATTATTATTTGTTATAAAACACTTTATATTAGAAATTAATTAGTATTTGAAAGTATTTGAAAGTGCTTAAAGTTAAAAGATTTTTTAAAGAGACTATTACAAAAATTAAAATCAGTTTATTTTTTTAACTAATTAATATTTGATAATTGTTTAATTAAAATTTATTATATTAGTTAAACAAAAATAACAAAATTAATTTAAACCAATTTATTGATATATTAATAACAATAAAAACTATAAAAATAAGCAATATTATTTATATTTTATTATTGTGTTAATAAAAGTTATATTGATAAATAATAAGAAACTGATGAAATAAATCAATAAGTTAGTTTAAAGATTTTCTTGAAAATATAATTTTTATTTTTATAGATTTATAATTTTATATTTTAAACTTTTTTTTAAATAAATGGATATATTTATTACTTGATTTATATTTAACATATTAATATTGTTTAAAAATTTTTTCATTGGTTATTTATAGTATATGTAAACAAGCTAGCATTAAACTTATTGTATAATATATGTAAGAGATATTGTTTTTTTTATAAATGTATATTTTTTATATACAGTATATTAATAAATAAAAAGATGATATTTTCCTATTTAAAATAATAATAATAATAATTGAATAAAATATTGTAATTATAATTGTTGTTTTAAATCAATTAAAGTAGATTTATATATGTAAATTAAATAAAAAAAAAGTAAACAGATTTTAATTTTTTAATTTACATAATTAAAAAAAGAAAAATTTTTTATAGTATAATAAGAGATGTTAAAGTAACATTATTTTTAAAATTATTAATGATATTTATGATATATAAAAATAAAAGGTACAAGAGAACAAATGAAAAATGAAAAAATTGCCAAGAGTCTTATTATATTGTAACGGTGGGAAACGGTGAGTCTGTCGCTTGCACGCGGGTCTTGTCGCGGCACGTCACACCACAGTTAAGTAGGCCCACTTTGCACTATTTAGCTATATAGTTCGTGTCGTCACTAACACTTCTTTCTTCTGGTCTTGTAGGCGAAAGAGGCGATTGGATTTGGTCGATCTTCGTCCGTCGATCACCGAGATCTCGGGGCGAAACGAAAATGTAACACTGAACACTGGGATTTATCACACAGATAAAGGTTTCAATCGTTAAATGAGCACACTTGCTGCCTTTATTATTAAGAAAGTTGGGTAAATTTATACATGTTTCCATTATCCTCTTTATCTCGATTATCCTCTTTATCCCACTGGTTTATATCGCGATACCCGATATAGCATCGCGTGACGAATCACCCCGTATTTCCCTATAACAATAATTAAAAAATAAAGAAAGATTCCATTAAAAAATTCAATTTTCCTATCATCATTTTGTATTTATAAATAATATAAATAAATATTGCATTCTGTATATATAAGAAATCAATTACGCAATTCATTACTCATGAACTTCTCAAAAAAAATATGATGATGAATAGGCAGTGCTTATATAGGGATACTTTTTAATATATAGGGTGTATCGCCAAGGGTTGACTATGTTATTATTTTTAATCAAAAGAAGTTATGTAAACGTGTTCGAGTTTGTTAAATTTAGTTTGACCGATCCAATTTCAAAATGGAATATTTCACCCGCAAATTCTCCGGTAAATATTGTTACTGTATGTAGTATGTAATGTGAAAAGAAAGCACGTACTGTTTGTGAACTGTTGTATAACTTTGATGAATCCTATCGAATCAATTCGATTTGTTACAACAAAAATCAAATCTAAGATAACAGGTGATATAACAGGTGATTATTTTTTATTCAAAAATAGACAATTCTTTCTACTCAAATAGGTGTAGACCTACAATTTTGTTGTTGCTTTTTAAAGAATTAATGGTTCAGCGCAGCAGTCTTTACATTTTATATTTTTACGAGAATGTTCGACTTGCTACGTAGTCAAACGTTTCATAATTTGGTTGGTACAATAGTCGATCTCCAATTTATCCTAATAAAGAAGCAATGACCAAATGTTTATTCCCACGAAATAAGCTTGAACTCCGAAGTAGTTGAATATTTAAGTTATCCGGCTGCAAAAAATTGATTCAGATACTTGGTTAATATGCAAATCACGACTGAGAGCACCGGATCAAATGCTCTTCTCCCTCAAGGAGAAGATAAATTTTCAAATGATTCACAGAACACCAATGCTAACTTGGACGGCACAATGTCTACCATAGGTACTAGTGATAATTCTGAAATATTGAGTGAAATTGGAAATTCTTCTAATGATTGGCTCAAATCAAACACTCAAGAAAATGACTACGAGTTTGTTGGATTAGAGTCGACTATGGAAAATTCCATACAACATTTTCTTCAGTATCAACAAAATTTTTGTAAGTTGGTACAAGAATACGAAGAATGTGCGCAACCTGATCCTAATTATCTCGAGCAACAGCGGATTCCAGATTCAATAGGTCATCCTTTGCTATCAGATTATAAATCCTTGATGACATCAATTTTTTACAATCCGAACTATCCCGATCAAATGATATATTTACAAAAAAATCGGGAGTCGACGACAAACAGAAGTCTCGAAGAATTGATCGAAGGACAAGGCTTTAGGATTTTGAATGAGGAAAAGTTTGGGGAATCCAGTGTGGGTAGATTTATTGCTGGAATTAATAGTCAAGAACTGACTCCTGGGAAAAATAGTCGATCACTATATATGAGTGAAGATAATAAAAATTCGGCACAGTCAATAAATGAAGCTTTATCGATAACAACATTTTGTAATCCTAATTATCCTGATCAAATAGTTCACTTGCAACAAACACAAAGTGACGGTCAAGAGTTGGAAAATGACAAAGATCATTCGAATCCAAATATCCCAATGTTATTAAAAAAAGTCGGATTCATTAAGCTAAAGATAAAAGAAATTGGATCCTCTATTAATGGAAATATAAATTCTTCCGATGACAACAAAGAAATTGATCGAGGTAGAAAATATAACTTTAATTATTCTATTCAAACCGTTCTTTTATCATTTCTAAGACGAATATTAAGTACTTATTATTAACTTGATACGTTGTAGGAGTGAGAGGAAGTGTCGAAAAATCTACGTCGGGACAAAGGAGTCATCCATACCTTTCCGAAGATCATTCATCGAACACGGTATCGGCGGAAGGTGATATGCTGTGATGTTATTAATATCGTTTGTTATACGATTGTTGATCGGGATTGAATAATTGCTTACCGAACTCATAAATTGTGCAAATAGCGCATTTGCAACGGATGCAAGTTGATGTTCAGCAGAAAAAGGAATGTGAAGTGAAGCCAAATATTTTGACGGCATCACATGAAGGCAACGTTGTCAAATCAAAAACCAAAGAATCGGTATATCCTTTATGTGGAAGGAGTAGCGATTCTAACATTGATGATGGAATAGCAAATCAAGGTAGAATGCAATATGTAATTAAATGTACAATGCCTTTGATGTGAATACGAATTCATTGTATCATAGCTTTGAACGAGGGATCAATGTTGAGGCAGAGAAAATCTTCGACTTTGATTAATGGTTCCCCTTTACCTATAGAAAATCCACCACCTAAAAGAAGAGGAACACTGTGGAAGCAATACATTACTCCAAAAAATTTGTTGGCCTTCTTAGTGGTCATTATATCACTAGTGGCATCGATGCACAAGATCACGCTATCCAACTTTAACGAACATGTGAGTATCATTATTAAATTGTGATTGATGAAAGATTCTACTGAACTCGAAATTGCTTACGTTTTTTTATGTCATAGGGTCCGTCCCACAATTACGAAAAGGTGAGTTTGCCGGCATCTTAGTTTCTCTTATTTAACATGACAGTTTGATCTTAGAAGCTTGCATTTGTAGAATTCCATGAATAGTATCGCTGATTCAACAGAAAATTTGGTGAATGGAATGGGAGAAGTAGATTTGCCGCGTAAGTCAAATTCCGTACACCTTTTCAAACCAATATTTACGAATTCTAAATTTATATATCTTTTTTCAAACAGCTTCAGATTCAATAATGAAAGGCACAGTTCTTTATAAACAATTTGCGAATGCAATCGAAAGTAGTCCAGCATTTAAGAAGAACGGCGCCACAATCGCCGAGTATTTACGTCAGTTCAGTAAAAAGATCTTTGATGCCGGAATCGCCTTTGAGGCTATGTATAGAAAAGGCGATATGTTATTCTGGGTATTGGAAACACAAGTTAATCTAATCTTGAATAAGCTCAACCCAAGTTTGTTTGGTCAAATTTTTTCGAGGGACGATGCATCATATATCAGCTCGAGACTTGAGGAAATAAGTAAGGAAATTGTTTCTTTCGAAAGGAAGCTTAAAAAAGCAATGGATGCAATGGAAGATGCAGAAAACACGAGAGATTCTGCGGAGAGATCTTTGGTGCAAGGACGAAATGAGGCTGAAAAGTTTGTTGATTCGCGGCTAAAAGACAAAGCAAATAGTTTAGAATTCGAAATTGAGGCGGAGAAACCTTCTGATTCGAAATCGAGGAAAGGGGCAAAAAAAATTGTTGATAAAGGATCAAAGTCAGGGAAATACCGATTAACACGAATTTCACAATTTCTTGAAGCTAATTCTGATAACGATCGTGATTATCAGAACGCCAAGAAACATTTGGAACAAGCAGGAGAAATCTTGGATTTGTTATCTCATACGGCTAAAGGTTTAGATGAAATACAAAAATTACTGACAAACTATAGGTATAGTTTAGAAGATGCTAAGCCTGAGGTAATGGGCAAAACTTCAGTCAGTAAGGATGAAATCGATAAGCTGAAAAAACTCATAGAGGATGTAAAGAGATATCATCAAAAATTTGTTAAGAAAAGCGACCCATTGTCCATAGATGATGCATTCTATTAGTTCAGTCATTACTTGATTCTTTCATTTATACAAGTAATCCCACTGTTAAGTGTTCTTTTGTTTATACAAATAAATTTTCTATTTTATTGTTTTTATTCCTTTAAACTGATATGAAACCGTGTGCTAGTTGTTGTCGATATAAACTATGTATATTCATATAACAGATCGTGAAGTTTTGTTTGAAATTAACAAATGTTTATGTGTAAAACAACTATTTTATGTTAACAGAAATAAAAGATATTGTATCGTAAAATGACGATAATTTGTTTCTTATTCCAACCACAGCATTATGAAAACAATACATTAGCCCTCATCCGAACAAACAGACATACTAGATTCAGCGTTCACCACAGAGAATGAAAGCAACGCCTCGGTTTCCCCACCAATTATATGATCTTCACCTGGCTGCATGACATTCGTTGGTTCCGAATTGAATCTCATCAATGGAGGACTCTTGAACTTGTTTCTCCGTCTATGATTGTAATTGTTGTTTGGACGCGATTGATCCTCTGTTAATAATCTTATTTGCTTGTCGGATTCGTCATAAATTTCTTCTTGTATTAATTCTTCAAGAACATCTTCTAATGTGATGATACCAATAGGTTTGGAGTCTTTGCCTTTATTCACAATCGCCATATGACTCCGACCTTCCCGAAATATATTTAAGATGTCAAATAACGGCGTTTCGGCTGCAACCTTGGGAATGTTGTTTATGCGAAATTTTTTTAATGGCAATGCTTCGTCCGGATTATACGTTACCAGGGACTTATTGAAAGGCAAAGAATATACACTTATTAATTAAATCGCGGCTTCCCAATGAATTTTTCCAAGAGCATCTCGCTATTCACCTTGACCAATAAAACTCCCAAGATGTTCTCGCGTGAACCTTCATACACGGGAATTCGAGAATGGCCGGTTGAATATACCCTCCCCATGGTATCTCTATCCATAATGCTATCATTAGATATCATAAATGCCTAGAGAGAGAAAAGTCTAACGCTATAGCAAAAGGAATTAAAAAGTTAAGTGGAAAAAAAAAAAACACTATTATTCACTTTTTCTATTGGTGTCATCGCACTTTCGACCACTTTATCTTGAAGATCAAGTGTTCCGCGTATAATTTTGACACTGTCAGTAACCAAATCACCTCCGTGCTCGGTTGTTGTTTCATGATACATTATCAATTCTTTCAACTCTAAAGATTTTTCAGGATAATAAAAGAATTTATCAATTCTCGATAGTTCATCCATGATAAATAAACTTATTTACCAGCACGACGGTATATAATTCCACGATCTTGCCCAAGAATCAAATCCAATAATTTAGCTATAGGGTATCCGACTATAAACTTTAGGTATTACACGCATCAAATTTCAGAAAATTCACGAGATGTAAATACTGTATTAACTTATCCGCTGCAAGACTTACGGTTAACCAGATCAATATTCTCACGGGCCTGTTAAAAGATTATTTTAATACTATTTATTGGTCGGAACGTGAAAGGTCATGCGTATACCCAAGACATTACCATGCAAAGAAAGCTCCTATTGCTAGTCCATATCTAGAACATACAGCCTGCGGAATAATTTCGCCGAATATCACGATAAGTGCGCTAGAGACTAAAATCGCCGTTGTACCACCTCCTCCCAGAATATCATCCATGACGATCGGCAAGGTCTCGTTGACCAACACGTTACTTAATAAGAGGGTGACCAAAAGCAGATGACCATTTTTTCGTATCGGCTGGATTCTTCTAGCATATTTACTAAATAGCGTGTAGGGGCTCTTTAGTTCTCTGGAAAAAATCCATGCATCCGAAAATTCCAACGACGTACCGTTGTTTTTGGTCACCCGAACTAGCAAGGATATGGAGGTTCGTTTCATCAAGGCTCATCTACATTACAAAATCCACAAATTTAATACAAGTTCTCGTTTTTCTTGCTTTTACTTAAGCCTCGATTTTTACCAGGCCGAGCGTCAATCCTAAAATTTGGGTAACGGAAATTCATGCTAAGACAGATTGACCAAGTCGAAGCCTTAACGATATCTGGCACTCGCTTACCGGCAAATAATCCGCCCAACAAAACCAACATAACCGTTGTTACAACTTTAACCCAATAATCGTGAAAAAGTTGTGGATGATCAATGTAAGGTATTTGATCTTCATTCCACCTTCCTATGATATATTCCGGGGGCGCAAGAGCTTTGAGAATTGGACTCATCGAAACTTGCAAGAAATATGAATCGAGACGTTATCCTGAAAGAATCGTAAACTCGAGGGAGTATAAAATAGGATACACCACATGACTTATCAAGCTACTATTTCGTCATGATTGCCCATGAGGTAAGCAATCATTATTTTCTAAATAATGTTATGATTCTCCAATAATTATGACGCAAAGGTTATTAATGCCATCATTACCATTATGGATAGTTGTTATTTCTGAATTTATATATAATAATATTACAATAATATTAACGGTTCTTTTTTAGGGCAATATAAAATTTTGAGAAAATTGCAAAAGTTACAGCACCCAGTATTCCCATGTTGTCCCCAACCATAGTACTGACTGGGCCATCAGTGGCTTAACTTCGGAGATCGGACGGGTTCCGGTGCTTTTCACTGTGTATGGCCGTAACTGATTGAAAGGTCAAACTTTATTTCCTTTAAAGCTATTTTGTTTAGTCACCTGATTAATCTGGGAAACTTTACATGTGATAATTAATCATGTGAACATGATCTCGTGACAAATACCGCTCAAGAATATGCAAATATGGTAAAATCTTCCCTCGAATTAAATTCTTCTCCTGCCCCCTAACAAACTTAAATCGTATGATTCAATTCACGCTGTACATCATTTACACCATCAAATAATAAAGTCAATTAACGTGGAACGAGGCGGATGCTATATCGCTCATTTGAAGATCTACAGGAATGCGCAACGTGAATCAACCATGAGTCATACTTTTACAGAATTAAATTTGGGTAGGATGTATCTACTAGAACATGAACAGGTATTTAGAGTGCACAATGGGAATTTTTAATGCTAACATATGCAAAAGTTGATTCATACAATCCTTCTCACGCATGATCAGATGAGGCGTGTTGTCAATCAAGTACCTTAATTTTGACTTACAGAAAGAACTTTCATGATTTTTTTCAGTCGCCACATATTTTTGGGGATTTGTTGATAGCCAACGAATTTTTGTGTATAAATAATTTAAGTTTTTTTAATGCAAAGTACAATAGGATGTTATTTTGTTCTTGTTCGTCGTCATGACTTCACATCCCGCCATTACAATTCACAATTCTATATTGAATGGTCAGCTTCTCACGTCCTTCAAACCATGGCAAATAATTTCATATCTCCTTTACTTTGAACATCAAGGACAACACACCCTGCGCCACGGAGGATTTTCGAAAATCGTATCTCTTAAATCCCTTCTAACTTTCCTAAGCCATCGGAAAGAGGAATTCCTCGCCTTTGGTTGCGAGATAAAAAATCTTGGTTCGGTTTATCGATTCAAGCTACCTAATATTTGTGGAATTTGCCATAAAGTTGGTCATATACCTTCAGAATGCGTAACCTCCGAGGTGATTCTTTCCCGGAGAATGTTGGAACTCGAGGATATCGAGTTTATGGTGAATTCCATTTTAGAACATAAAATATTGATTAGGAAAATTGTTTTGAGGTTTAATGATCTGGGTGGCAAGGGGGCCAAGATCATCGCGAGATTGATTTCTCGGAGTGACACAATCGTTGAGCTCGTCCTGGAAAGCACTAAAATTGATGACGAAGGAATTGAGTTGATCGCAGATGCTTTGGGCGAAAATCGTTCGATCGAACGGATTATCCTGAATAACAATGAATTTGGATCGAGAGGGTTAACCTCCATGGCCAAAATATTAAAGAATAATAAGACCTTAAGGATTGTTGAACTGTCTTCCAGAGGTAATCCGGAAGAAGCCACACAGGAATTTCTTCAAATTTTTAATGACGTATTGATAACCAACACCTCCATAACTTCTTTCACTTTTAATGCCCGCGGGCTTCAAAACCTATCGCACAATTCTATCAGCGATAATCACAATCATAATGATAATACTATTGTTGATACCACGCTGCTGATCAAGAGCAAACTATTTACAAACATAACTCGTTACCTAGAACAAAATCGTATGTTTGACTCAATACTTAGCAGTGCGGCAATAGAGTTGATGAATAAATCCCGAATTTTCTTTTTGAACATTCAGGGATGTGATTTATCTGTAAGAAGGATACCATTCGAAATTTGGGCTCAGATGTTTAGATGTTTTGGCGAACACTCGGGTTTGACCACAAAGCAAGTTGATATGATTGTGAAATTTAGTGCCACTCGTGTTACTTTGTCGAGCACCATTACAAAACGAGATTTTTTAGAATGTGTTTATTTTAATAAAAAATTCTGGGTCGACTAACCTTTTTGTATACAACAATGTTTATAACCTCACTTTTTTTTCATTACCATATTTGACGTCCGAGAATCACTACTATATTATGGCATGATAAAATCTTGTCTGCATAAATACATTATACATTGTACACCAATTAATATTTGTCGCTACTCGTGATCTTAATAATGTTTATTAATATTTGAGTAATTCTTTTTGAAGGCGGACAGGGATTTTTCTGACTTTATAATTGTACTCCTAGAATTTATATTGTATATGT